CTATTTGTCAGGTTGTTTAGCTTGAGGGTTTACAGAAATCTGTAGACGAGGTAACTTCACAAAACAAAATTCAAAATCTAGTTTACTGTAGCAAACTTTATTCTATAACTGAGGCAGGGTGAGCCATTGAAGTAGTGCTATGGAGGATATTCATCAGTCTACAACATCAGAGGATGTTGTTTCATGTCTTTAGAAAATATTAAACAACATACATGTGTCAGAAAAGTATTTGTTATATTTATTACATCTTAGATTTAGGAAATTTTCATCTTCTCTCTCTCTCTCTCTTTTTTTTTTTTTTTTTGGTTATTATCAGGTGAACTGAGCTGTACAGGGCTGGCTGAATTAAAGCTGAACCAAAACAAACAATAAAAGTTGATACGTGTCCATAAAGGTTATTTCAATGGAAAATTTTCATCCATTTTAAAATACTGAGATCCCTTTCATAGTTGAATAGCACTCTGAAATGTAACCAATCACACTGTCGAATGGGGGGCTGTTATTGGAGGAAGAGGCAGAGAAAAGGAAAACATTTCTTTTGCTGTGTTTGGCATTTCATAGTCCTGGCCATGTTTTCATTTAGGGTTATTTTTTTCTTCACAAAGGTAAGATCAGAGAAAACAGAAGCTCCAAAACAAGACTTCTTGGGGTCAAGGTTTAGAAACAGCCATTTTTATGGTAACTTACTTGTCCTCTTTTCTTTTTTGTTAAATACCACTACTTTGGGTAGAAAAGAGTGCAGATGAGTGACCTCACTGTTATCTGCCAAGACAGCTTGCAGGGGACCAAATTAATCTCTGCTACAGAAATCCTCTAACATGAAAGCACATTTTCTTTGCAATACAATGTGACAAAGTGATATGATTCAGTAAGTCTTCATGAGCAAGAGGTGAGTCTCATAGTCTTTCCTGATTATGGAGATATAAGGTCAAGAAAGAAATCTTACAGAAGTCCCAAGAGCTCATACAAAGCTGAACACAATACATGACTGAAAACAACTTGTTCAAAGGCACCACAAAGGATGCAGACACTTTTTCACTAACCTAATTCTGAAACATGTATTTTTTAACTCATTCTTTGACCTCAGTGATGGTTTTATTTGAGTAAATGCTTCCAGTCCTACGTTTAATAAGTTAGGAGTACTAGCCAAAACCTAATCTTACTTGGATATAACTGAAAGATCAAATCAAAAAATAGCATTACAACGTGGACAACCGAAGCTAAAGCTGGACAGCCTACAAGGCATGGATGACCTGGGTGTCATGGGCACTCCTCTCCTCTAGCTCTGTAAGAGAGCAGGGTCTGACACCTCCAGTAGGTGGATGGTCTGAGACACTCATCACCCAAAACTAGCTCTGCCTGGTCTGGTACCTACAGATACTTTGTGTATAGCCTGCCTCTTGCCAGCTCTACCTAGATAGCTTTTTCACTTGTCACGTGGCTAGTTTTTTAGGCAACTTCTGCCCAACAATTCTCACAGGAACAGGTTCTGAAGTTCAATCTTTTACATTGTTAAACTTTCAGGGACAAATGGATGAGCCAGAAAATGATAAAAAAAAAAAAAAAAAAAAAAAAAAAAAAAAAAGTATGTGGAGATCCGGACTGTTTTGTAAGCAACCCTATGTGGTTAAGTATATCACATGCAAGTACCTATGCTGAAAGGGAATTTCTACTTTAAAGAAAATGTTTCAGGAATGCTTTGTTTAGGAGAAGAATTCAGTAAGACTACTTTATTGTAACTCTCCCGACCAGCCCAGTAAACCTGCTTACCATTGCAAACACTATTTCTTTGACATTGAAAGTTATTTTCTTCTTTTATTTTCAGTACAAAAGAGCAGTTCTGTGGTTTTCCTGAAATATATGAATGAGTTGAGTCATCTATGATTCTGATAAAGAATGAAGGTAATATGTGAAGAAGCAGCATACTGAATAGATATTCATGCTAGCTATGAATGATGCATGAAGGTTCTCTTCTAGAAGAAAAATGTGAAGCTGCTGTCAAGTCTCTACTTAATACTAGAGTAAGTTCAAACATTTTTCTAAAGGCCTCTTTATCTGTTCTTTCATTATTAACAGTTAAGATATTTATTCACCCCCTCAAAAAAAAAAAAAAAAAAAAAAAGATATTACATGTCATTGTGGATAAAGCATAATATTTTTATTTCTCTTCAGTGATCTCAGAAAAATATATAATCCAAACCAAAACAAAAACAATTCTTTTTATTTTCATCAGAAACTGGTTAGTACCTCAAAATCACTGTTATGTATGGGTCATCAGTGAAGTAATTTCCAACACTACAAATTGTTAATCTGTCTGATAACAGATAAACACACACCCTAATAAGAAAGTAATACAAGATCCAAACACTCCCAATTTCTGTATTTCTTCATTTAATATCTAAAACCATTTTAACAGAATCCTAGATGTCAAAGCAAATAAACACTGGTCTCTTACTTTGGGCCTCTTCCACTAGCCATGCTGATTAATTTAAAAAGCAACAAAAAAATGTCTGCAGCTGGCACTTTTGCAGCTTTTTTTGCAAGGATGATTTACAAATGTAATCAGACTTCCTGCTTTCAGACATAAAGCAGTCACCAACATGCTTCCTTACACACACAACATGAGGATTAATATCCAGACAAAATAAATAGGCCATACTAGGATGTTTCACCCCCTGCAATGAGAGGTGATAGAAAACAGGACTAGAACAACCATGTGAGATGTCCTAGTTCTAGGACAGAGTGCCCTTGCTCCTAGTCATCCTTAGCAAGCTCTTTTCCTTATGCAAAATTGTGTATTCTGCTGGTAAGTCGCAGATTCATCAATATTCATGCTAAACATTTACTGTATTTATGATACAGGAGAAGCCCCCTGGAAACTGCCATTTTTAGAACTAAACCCCTGTTCTGAACATGGCTTATAAACTTATAAACATATAAACTTATCTATAGGAACTTTCTATCAAATAAATCTTTCATTAAATAAATATATGATAGAGATATATTTTTCCAAAATCAATAGGAAATATCTGGCTAAAGCCATTCCAATTTTGAAATGAAATTTCAAGCAATGGAAGTGAGGAGAAAACCCTGCTGTAAGCTTTGCTCTTTTCATTCAACAGGACTAGAAAGCCCTGCAGGACTGCTCAGGTTCCCTTGAAGCACAAAGTGACAAAGCCTCATGAGTTATGTCACACAATGCTTAATCTTCTGCCAGGTCACTAAATTATCATGCCTCTCATGAAAAGGATGCTAGCACAATTCCAGGCAATCCCAGAAGTATCCAGAGTATAGTAGATGTTATCAGGTCAGAAATACTCTCCCTCTCAGTTCCCTGACCCAAAAAACACTGAGCAGTCACTTTCTGCCAGAAATAAATCTTAATGCCCTCCTGGGTTCAGCCTCTCCTGTAAATCAAGGTCAAGCTGTCTAGAGCAGCTTCTGCTAGAGCAGCCCCGCACCATGCTGTAAGGCAGTCTTCAGTGGGAGGCGATGGCAGTAGGAGTGAGTTAGGGCTCTAGTTGGAGGGAGAACCCTGTGAGCATCACATTAACATTCATATCAAAGACCTGTGGGCAAGACAGACTCCATCTGAAATAATAGGCTTTTTCCAGTGATTGCTCCTCATCACTTAGGAACACATCAATCCTGCGCATTAATCCCACCTTCTGCTACCATAGGCTGTCATGTCATATATTGCTTTTCATGGGCTCTGTTCTGCAAGAAATAGTTAATGTCTACTTCTCCTACCAGCAGGCTTTTCCAGAGCCTCACTGTGATAGTGAGAAAATTGTTTCTGGCTTCCAGTTTCAATTTATTCATGTCCAGTTTATAACCATTTCCTTCTGAGCCAATATTGTCCTTTAGCTTAACTAGCTCTTTTCCCTTCCTGATGTTTATCCTCCTGATATATTTACACAGGACTGACGTATTCCCTGTTAGCCTTTGCTGAACAAGGTAAGCTCTGGCAGTTCCACTCATGGGATTAGCTGGATCACTTCTGCTGCCCAGCACTCAGCTTTCTTAAATACGTCTATTTGCTGTTCTGTATTTGCTTTTCTTCAGGCATGTCATACCACCCTTGTCTTGACAGTTATTGCAATCTGGGTACTAGGTGATCCCCATCTGATTACATCTTCTTCCAGTTCTTCCAAAACACAGTTTTTCTGTGCTACTGATTGATTGATTTGGGAATCTGTGCATGGTACAGAACGTATGAGCCCAGATGGTCATGTCATTGTATCTGTTAACCCCAGGAAAAGCAGAAATCCAGAGTCTGGATGAATTTAATTGCCCTGAAGTTCTCTTTGTCCTTCTAATCTGACCACAGCCTGTAATATCTGAATCACTCTCCTCTGTGTGAATAATAAAAAATAAAAACAAAATAAAAATAAATAAATAAAAATGAGTTTCTTAGTCAAGAAATGTAGTGACATTATGAATTTAAGAATGGGGATCCTCACCCTCCTTTATGCCTATATCCTACAAGGACGCTTCAAATACAGCTTGTCCTTCTGAAACATGAAGACACCGGTACTTACTGGGATTCTGGCTGAACCGAGCCAGAACTATTCAACAAATATAACAATTTTCAGTTAAATGTAAAACCCAAGTGTCGTGGTTTAACCCGGCCGGCAGCTAAACACCACGCAGCCGTTCACTCACCCTCCCCCCTCCCTCTCTGGGACGGGGGAGAGAAATGGAGAGTGAAGCCCGTGAGTTGAGATAAAGACAGTTTAATAAGACAGGAAAATAATAATAACAAAAATAATAATAACAATAATAATAATAATGATACAATGGTGATAATACGAAAGTAATAGTATGTACAAACAAGTGATGCACAATGCAATTGCTCACCACCCGCTGACCGGGTCATGCTATACTTGCAAGCTGCTACTTGAGGGTCTTTGAAGCTCAACATATCCATCAGAAAATCCTGAGCTGCCAGAACCAACAGGTGACTCAGGATGTTAATTACTGCTGCCCAGGTGGATGAGCTGATTAATATTCTCACAACTGGGATGAAGGACCCTTCCCTGTGCTTCTCTGCAGCTGCTTGGCTAACGCTGCAGTTTCCTCCTGCTGGCCAGCATTCACTGGCATGGGCTATGCCCACAGAAGCCCAGGAGGCAGATTTGTGACTCTGCTTCTCCCACTCCCAGCTACCGTCCATGAGGCATGCCAGAGCTGCAACACTGGAAAAGGTGCAGCGTTCCACTTGCTTATTCTGGCTGGTTTGGGAAAACGATGGTAGTGAGGAGCTACTGCTTTCCAGGAGGCCCCTGGGAGAGACTAATCCAGCCCTCTACATCCAGACTTCTTCCCACGTTTCCCACAGAAGAATTGGTTGGCAGTCAGGGAAACTACTGTGCAGGGGGACCAGGCTCTGCCTGAATAACTCGCTGTTCAGATCCTCTGCTACAAATTGTCCAAAGGAAAGGCAATGCAATGTTAACACCCTGTCTGGAAGAATAAAAATAGAGGATAAAATGTCTGTTTTGGATGAGAAATGCTTCACAAAGCATTTGTCTGTTACTCACGATGCTTTGCCACCATACCATTATTAAATCCACAGCCAAAGCATGTCAGTATCAGAAGTAGGAGCCAGAGGACTGCCAAATGGAGGCACTCGGTCCTTTCCTGACCACTGTGGTTTCAGGTACCTCAGTCCTTTCATTAGCTGTTTAATTGTCCTGCAAAGGTCTTGAGTCAATATTTTTATTTCCTGACTCTACCTGCCAGTGGTGAACAATCTGCTCCCCTTTTCAGAGCATCTGACTAAATTTAACAGGCAGGACAAGGAGGACACGCCTATGCTTGCTGGACTGGAAAAATTGTAAGTATATTTAACAATTTAAAGTATGCATGCAGACCTTGAAAACAGCTACTTTGTTCTGAATAGGACTACTGTTCTGCTGACATTTTTTTTTTCTATGTTGTGGAAATAAAAGGGTTCAGATTATATTGGAAATATGTTAAAAAAAAAAAAAAAGAATGTTTCAGCTCCATAAATAGATTGAAGTATCAAAATGAATATTTGGAGGGTCTCATATTTTGTATTTTCTGATGTGGGAAATCAAACTGGTTCTTCATTGCTGAGCAATGACAACTGGAAATGAGTGATTTATTCTTACTTCTATCTTTCACCCTTTTCTGCATAACCTACACAAAGTTGATGTGAACTAGCAATTCATCTGAAAAATCCTGAGTGACTTCAAAAGGCCCATCAGCTCTGCTGAGCTTTCTCAGGAGAACACAAATCAGTTCCTCAAAACTTCATAATACAAAAAAATACAGTATAGCAGCAGAACTGTATTGTAACTAGCACATACTCCATGTGATGTCAGGTAATCATCCTTGTCTTTCTGACAAAATTTTTGAAAATGTAAGATAATGCAATGTTGAAATCTGTTTTATAACAGCAAATTTCATGTATAGAGTTTGCCTTCTTGGATGCAAAATTGTACTAAACTTTTCCTTATAACTCCCTGTCCTAGGTATTAATGCACTTTTTTTTTTTTTTTTTTTTTTTTTTTTTTTTTGTCATTTGGCATTGTTATTAGTGAAGAAAGGGAAAGAAGAGGCTTGTAAGCATTGCTCTACTGCACTGATTCAACACTTGCATCAACAAAATTGATCCATTGTTCTTTTTGGTGGAAACCAAAGCTTTTAGAAAGCACTGCTGCAGAAAACAGCTGGATTTATACTCAAAGGAAAAAGAAAAGATGATTTACTGTATCTTTGTTTTGGAGGGTTTAGAGGAATTCAGTGGGCAGGATCTGTGGTTCCATAGGGACAAGCCAGCCCTGCCAGTTCTGAATTAAACCCAACAAAAATGGGAGCTGCACATATTAGTGAGACAGCCATCATATAAAAATATGGATCGGATGGGTTTCCCTTGTTGTACATCCAATTTTAACAATCCAAGCTTTTTATTATTGTTATTTTAAAAATCCCAGCTGCACTGTGTTTTCAGGAAAAGAGGAACAGAAACGGCAGCAGCAGGTATGGCTGGGGCCTTTGCCTTTTAAATCTTGCCTATGGTATGTCGGCACCTCCGCACTGTGCAGCCACTGACATTAATATCTGCTGAAGCTGCTGGAATCTCCCTTTCATAATCCAAGGAAGCCAGAGAGGATGCTGTTGACCTACAGATATGATAGTAGTGGACAAAGTCTGGACCTTGGATGTTTGAACATGTAAGTGGGCTCTCAGGAACAGAGCCCTGCATTCGATCAGTGGCACAGACTACAAATGTCTATGAACAGTGCTTGTCTGACTGCTGTTTTTCGCCGAGCCAAACAAAACACTATTGGTGAACTACAAAACAGATGAACATGCTCCTATTTTTTGGCACATGAAAGGAAACCTGCTTTACCCAGCCACATCTGTTTCTTTGATTTAACTCCATGCTCATTCCTGTTAGCTTTGGATGAGTGGTTTGGCAAATACACTGCAGCCTGCTTCACTGAAAAAAAAAAAGGGCTTCCTGGGGAAATAAACCCCTGTATGAGACTTTGATGTGAATATATTTAACAAATTATTTGATTAACCCCTCCTCCTCACCAGTGACTGCATTCTGGGGTGGAGCACAAACCTTACATTAAGGAATCTGGTTCTTCACAAATAAATTGAAGAGGAGACCTTTCTCTCCAGTCACCCTAGATGCTCTCACAGCAGGATCATGATTGTTCACAAGATGCTTGCAGAGAAGTAGCAAATATATCCTGCTGGTTTGTAATGTAATTCCAGTGCAAAAGGTAAGACTCAAATGTAGCACAATTCATTAATCTCTAAACCGTGCAATTGCACAAGCTGCAGGAAAATTATAACTTCTGGAGAGAGCACTCAAAAAAAGTGAAAAGAGAGAAGCAGAAAGAAAATTAGAGTTTCAGAACACAGAGGCTACTAACTTAGAGCAGAAAACCAAAACTAAAAGTAGAACTGGACACAGCATGCACATATCACACACACTTTTTAAAGATAGATTGAGGAGATCATAAGAGATGCTCATAAAATCTACATTTATCCTGTGCTCACAAGCTGGAACTAGTCAAACAATCAGCTACCAGCTAAAGATATGCAGCACTGCTCACATCACTTTGATGCTAAATGAACCCTGGATAGAGACCATCTAATGCACAAATTGCTGGGTGTGTCTGAAGTCACAACAACAGACATTTGAAAAATCACTTTAAGAACACCCAGCATCAAGCTGGGATCTGGGGGGAGGATTTTTCCATGATTAAAAAAAGCGACTACAATTACTCTGTCAGCAAATATTTAGCCCAATGTTTTCCCCGAGAGCCAGTGGCCAGACCCCACAGCACTGCACTCATACACCAGAACTGAGCTGAACTGTGGGAAAATAAAGCATGCCAAAAAGGGGCAGGCAGTTATCTTGAATTCACACTGATCTGGGTTGACAAGAGAACCGTTCCTTCTGTACACGGCCCGTAAACACCCATGGGAATGCAGTTTTGGTGACAGAAACAGAGAATCCCGCAAATGTGACTATAAATATGATGTGGGTCAGGGAACTCATTTAAACATACTTTATGGCTTGAGGTGTCATCCAGACAGAAAGCACAAACAAGCTGCAAATAGCAGGCCCCTGAGCCTGAAGACATGCGAATGAGCAAAGTCTTCAAAACAGGGTTTAAGCATAATTTCAATTACATGCAGGCCTCAAACTAGAGATCTGCATGAGGGTAAATTCTACAATTTCCTCAAAAACTAATGCCCAAAGGCCAATCTCTGGGTAACAGTCTATGCCTGATGCAAACTCCCTTAGATGGATGATAGATAGATAGACAGATAAAAAGAGTGGCCAACAAGTAAACACTGGAGATGACAGTATCTAAAATGTGAGCTTGAAACATCATTTCATTGGGCTCACATTTACTCCTTAGTCATCCTTTGTGTTTATTCCCTGAATACATTCTTCTGTCTACAACCACCCCCTGCAGCCAAGGGGGACTTCATCAGGGACATCCTGCATCAGGACGGACCTTCAGCACTGCACAGTCCTTCAGACATCATCATTCCTTGAACCCATTCCCTGCCTGTCTGCCACCAAGGGCATGACACTGTCATCCCCCTGCTCCTTTGTCTTATTTGAGTCTGGTGACTTTCTACTCCCTTTCTTCTTTAGAAAGTGCCTTCTCTCACTGGCAACCTCACCCTCTTTTCTGCTTTCCAGTACATTTAAATACCCTTCCTTTTACTCATCTGACAAATGCTCCCTCTGCCTTCAGGTTCCTCTCTAAAGCCTTTGAAGTCTGCCTGTTTTCAGCTACTTGGTGGTGCTTAGCAGGAGTATAGTTGGAGTATGAGCTTACTGGGACGGTGGCTTCCCTTATGTAGTTTATAGGCATCATGTTAAACTGCAGGGCAAATAAATACTGTTGAAAAATGGGTCTGATAGAAAAACTTACCTTTCTTTTTTCTTAAGCCAACAGGTACTCTGAGTCTTCCGTATGCTGATACTCCTCTATTTTCCCCCTTTTTAAACCGAGTGTATTCATGAAAATAAAGGAAATTAAGATAATAATATAGCAAAATTTTACTTAAAAATATTAATTTTCAGGTCACCATTAGATCCAGCATCCCATTCCACATGATCTCATCTTCACTGTCTAACTACTTATACAGCAAATGTGCTGATTTTTCAAGCTAATATTAGAATCATATTTTTCCAAGTACCCACCTACTGATACTCCCCACCTTGACATAATGAGATCACTTTTCTTTCCCCTATTATAATTTGTAATAAAATATTGACAGCCAGACCCCAGGTCTCTACCTTTGTTGAGGGATTTGGAAAGGTGTCAGTATAGATATTCTGGAATTTTTTTAATTTTGTTTTTCATTAATGAACTGATGCTGTCAGCATCTTCTATGATATTGTACCATCTAAATTTAAAAAAAAAAAAAAAAAAGAGAGACACACACAAAGTCTGGTTTCTCTGAAGACAGCAAAAATCAGAGGAGGCGATCATTATTTCCATCTACTGTTCTTTCTCCAACTTGCATATTGGTCTGAGTGTTTTCTCTTTCTCTCACACAGATGCCTGGTTTTCTGTTTCCTTCTCTTTTTCTCCCTGTTCCCTGTCTGCTTCTGCTCTTCATGTTTTTCTTCTGAAAGACTCTCTTCTCATTTCAGCTAAGGGAAGCTCTGAATATTTGTTTCTTTTTTCATCTATCTTGAAGGACAGGGGGCTCCTTCTCTGTCCCACTGTCAGGCAGTGCTGCATCCTTGCCCCTGGTTTCCTGCAGCCATTCTCCACCTTCCAGGTACCCAAGAGCCAAACTAACTAGGTCCAGGGACAGCCCTCTGCCATAAGCCCAGGTCCTTATGGATGCTCTGCACCATCCCAATAAAAACAGCTACCTATTTTCCAGGCAGACAGAGAGAAATAAGGAGTTTTGTAGCAAAAAACACTGTCAGTGGTGATTTGGGTGGGCATCATGGAAGCAGACGGTTCAATGCACTGGGCTGGGTCTCCCACCGGCTCACAGCCGATCTCACCATCCCCAGCAGGAAAAAAGGCTGGGTAGCAAGTTTGGCCTCTACCATTGAGCTGGCTTCAAATTTATTTTTCTCAAAATCTAGAAGCTTGTCTTCATCCTTCAGTCTTTTACTGCCCCTTCCACTTTTCACAGTTTTGAATGTTTCTCATAAACACATTATTTAATTGCTTCATATTCACAGGGATTTCTCTGTTCCTCAAATGCAGTTTCGTATCTACCCTCCTCAGACTTTTCAGAAGTCTCTGAATTTTTCTCTGCTGAGAAAAATTAATCAGCAATCCCAGTTTTTTTCTTTGACACTATCTACCAGTTTCAGTGTTTACAGTTAGTCAATGTATTTGGACCACTGCTAATTTTCTTCTAATGTGAGTGTGCTGTTTGTGAGCTGTTTATATATAACTTCTAAACATTTTTCAACTTCTATATCTTTTTCCATTTTACTCACTGTTTTCATTTAACTTAGTTTAAGTCAATCTTTTCGTTTCTCTATTTTTAATTTATTTTTATATTCAGAGTATTTTCTTTGTTCAGTTTGTCTGTGGAAATATACTGCTCTAAGTTTCCCTCAAAGGCAGGGACAGGGAGAGGAAGCTGTGCAAGCGATACCAGTTGCTCTTTGGAAGATGACATCTAGGCTAGAAGTAGTACTGGTCTCCTTCAAAATCTCATCTTTAGGGGTAGTTTTTGTGATATTTCTGTTCAAGATTAAATCTTTATCATAGTGGCTAATTATTGACTATATTCCAATTGCTCAGTGTCGAGGCAAGATTTTACTTCTAAACCTTTGCAATACTATTTTGAAGTATTAAAAATACCATAAGGAAAGTCAACAAAATTAAGTTAAGCTAAGTGTAAAACAAAACCTAGGTTTTACTGGTCTCTTTTCTCATAGAAAAGGAGAACTGATGTACAAGGGGACACGACTCACATGTTGCAGCAAATCCGCCGCATGTCCAGGAACTGAATCTAGACCTCTGAGTCCTTTTCCAGTTCCTTGAAAACAAACTTCCATGATTCATGTATGGAAAAATGTTCTTGGTGTTCATTTCTAACTTACACAACTGAAGTGGCAATAATGACCTCATTTAACTTTGCCATCACCAGTATTCAAGTTGTAAAGACTGTTTTTATTAAAAAGAATATGCCTCTGAGCAATCGCCCAGGTGCTTTCACTGGGAAAGCTTACTGTGTAGCTTTATCCAGTAAATCATTTCTGTGTCCTTGTCTACCAGGTCAGAAACTACCAGCAGAAACACCAGCCGATGGCATGGTGTGGAAGCTCCTCTGTGCCTCTTGAGCTTTGCTCTTTGCTGGCCAGTGCTCACTTTTATCTCTGTTTATGTGGCCCAGGGGACATGGGACTGGCCAAAGACTGTCTCACGAGGCTGAGCTCTGTGTTTTCTGAGCTGGCAATGAGTCAAGCATGAAGCTGGCTGACAACCCATGCTGTCCTCATGTATGCAGCCATGGATCATTACACAGCAATGAAGTACAATATCTTGTTCAAAACCTGTCCTGTTTTATCTGAATCCCTGCTGACTCTGCTGGCCCTGAGCCACACTGGTGTTTACTGACCTTTTGGAGCAGAAATGTTGACTGGAGGAACAAAAATAGCTTCTTTCCAAGCCTGTGTGCAGACACAGAAGCTGTGGGGTGCTCAGTGGCCTTCAGACCCATTGTCAGACCATCAGGATGGTCTGGGACAGCCAGCCAGCACTGTCCCTGCTGCAGCAGCTGCTTGGCTTTTAGCACCCTGAACATCTGTGTGCTGATAACGCGCCGGCTGGTCCCACGCTGCAACGTGCAAAGTCTGCGTGACTTCCAGGCAACAACACTTCTAGGCTGTGCCTGTGCTAAAAAGCAGAGATGATCCCACAGTGCTCCCTGCAGACCTGGTCCAAAAAGAGCCGGGGGCAATATACAGGATCCCACTACACCTGCATTCTGGGACATGCATATGGGTAGACAGAAAGAAGGAGCTCACAGTGCCAGACTGTTCCTGGGGTGCCTGGGTGGATGTGAAAACAATCCCTGCTACGTGAAGCAGCTCTGTGATACAACACAGCCTACAAGCATCTTCCTTAGCTGCCCATGGATATAGGCTGGTGCTGCAATAAGGGTGACATAAAACACACTCTGGGTCATTACAGTGACCACTAGTTTGAAAAATGTAGATGCCAGTTAGCCAAAGTCCCATGGCAAGGGGTAACGGGATCTCTCCAATGAGGAGCCCTGAAGTTCTTCTTTTTTCTTCTTTTTTTCATTCAGTCTGTGGGTTAGGAAGGTTTTGCTGTGCCCCCAAATGGAAGAGGGCTTTGGCTACACCAAGGGTGTTCCTCAAGCTGGCTTAGATGAGACATGTAAAAGCAGAGGGACCCCAACTCAGTCAATATATTAAGACCACTGTTAATTGTCTTTCAATGTGGTGTGTCTTTTATAAATTCATTTTTTAAAGTGAGCATTTTTCAAGTAATAGCAAGATTTCTACCTGTCTGTAGCGTGCCTGCACAGGGGCTTGCCGATGGTCTCTTCAGAGACACAGCTAGATTTAACTAAAACAAAACAAAGCAATCCCTGCAC